GAGCGCGATGTGGGGATAAAGAAGAAAGTGGGTGATGCAAGGACCATCGCAGCATGCGTCGGAACCACTGAGAGAGACGGGTGACATGCGTAGGATAGCGACGTTGGCGGGAGCGTGTGTAGCAGGTCCATCCTTTAGCGAGGGTTGGTGGGGAATGGCCAAAGCATGCGACGAGTGAGTGTTGTTGCTGCAGCTCGGAAGTCCTGCCAATTATTGCAGATGCGTTCAAATCTGGTCAATTGCCTAGTGAACACACCTGCCGGTTGATGGGAAGGGATGTTGGAGGTAGCACTTGGATAGCGAATAACAGGGAAATCCCAAGCAGCCGCTTTATCAAACACGCTCATGTGAAGCGAACCATCAGAACGTACTCGTAGATGCATACCTAAAAAGGTACACGAGTCATCTGTAGCCGTAGTTTCCTTCCACTCAAGCCCATAGTGCTCTGAAGGCGGAGGTAATTGCCCCCATGAAAGAACATCATCAATGAGGCGGTAAGTGAAGGCGTATCGCTGAGCAGCGTGGGGATCATGTTGACGAATGTCATCAATAAAGCGTGCTTCATCCCAATAGAGCGTTAGATTGGAAATTTCTGGGCCAGCATTTGTTCCCATTGGAATACCAATGATTTGCTTTCGAAGAGTGCCATCTCTAGTGTACAGAAAAGTGTTTTCTACAACAAAGCAAAGATGTTGGAGAATCTGAGAAACGGAAAGGCTGTCTGGTCCTGAATCGGTTGTCCATTGGCCAGAGCAAGGCCCGCGAATGAACATTTTTATTGCTCTGCAGCGCGAATGCATGCGGGTATGCTGAAGAGCATAAGCATGAGCTTCATCAACAGCCTTTGCCACATTATTCARAATGCGGTCATGAGGAAGGTTGGTGTACATTGTGGTGAAATCAACCGTGCGAGGAGAGAGTCCACGTAGAGAGGACACGTTGTTTTTCAGGTCAATCGCCACCTCAACGGCACTCTGGACGATCCAGCACCGTCGAACACCTTCCTGTTGATAGAGCTCAGTGTCTTTCTCACGAAGAGTAGAGATCACGCCTTGCAAAGCAATGCTGAGACAGGACGAAGTAGCCGTTGTGCTAGCCAAGGGTTTGTGAAGAGGCCGTTCATGAATGGTGCGAATAGAAGGACGAGAGCGAGTGCGTGGGGGGACAGGACAAGTATTTTGTGTTGTGACTCCAAGAATGCTGGGAAGAGCTGGAGGAGACTTGTGGTCTTTCAACACATAGTATAGGTAAGGCAGGGTATCAGTGTGGGTATAACCCCAATGGTGATTCCATAGTGCATGGTGGTTTAGCACATCAGCGACGGATTCATGAGGACGAGTATAAGTGGGACTGTCCAAATGGGTAGAGAGGTGAAACAAATACCAATTCTTGCAACAAATTGCCAAATTGTGGGATGATTTGTCCACAGGAACAATGGCAAAGTGTTGTTGCAGATGGCGTAAGGAGGCATGTGCACAACGAAGTGAATGTTGTTGGCTCACATGATTGGAAGACGAAGTCGCATTGGATTGACAATGCCCAAGGATTGCAGAACGCCAGCTGTGCAATTTCTGAGAGAGGGACGAGAAAGAAGCAGATCGAGAGTGTCTAGCAAATGTATTCTTGTAACTG